TTATGCCCAAGTTAAATTCAAAGTTTACTGGCAAACTGCCTTTAAAGAAATGTCATGTTGGTAATATTTGGGTCTAATGCTCACGGATATTTTAGAGGAGAACCCAGCAGATAAACTGTCAGCTGCTGTGAAGGGTTGATTTAGGCTTGCTTTACGCTTTGTGAGCTTTGTAAACCACAGAGTGCACGTGTCAAAAGTAGAACCATGATTGCTAAAGTTGAGTATTAGCCCCACACAGGGTCATGGAACACAACACAACCAAAAGAAAAAGGCAGAAAATTGAAATGTTACAATGGCCTAGTTAAAGTTCTGATCTTGTTTTAAATGGACTGGATCCAATGCTTGTTAAACACACACCAAACCTTGACGTAGTGAGGTAATGAAGTTAGTTATTACTCCTTAGACAAGTTTGGATTGAAGCTGTTAATGGTTGGTCAAACCCAGTTTGTCCACATATTTTCATTTTTTACCTCACCTTTACTGTATGAATAATGAAGGAATGTTAATACATAAAACACTGAAAAAAAGAACAGCTCATTGCTTCACTTCGTGATAAATCCCACTGTTGGAATATATTACTTTTCTGGTGGCAGGAACTAAGACGAATTTAAGTTTTCTAAGTCAATAGTGAAAAGCAGGGTCGGGCAGTAACTTGTTTAATTTAATTGAGTAACTTTTTGAAAAACAAAAGTACTTTTAGGAGAAATTTAAGGGCAGCAACAGACTATTATTCAGCTACCGTAATCTGTTGATTTTTTTTCAATAATCGAATAGCAAACGATTAAGGATTTTTTTTTTCAAATTCAAACCATGTGATCTAAAAACTATTGAGAGTTTTGGATAGAGCATTTTGACGGATGAAAACAGTTTTTAATCTTAAGTGCAAAATATATTTTTTGTTAAAATTGCGGTTAAATTACTGCTCTAAGTGGGTTTGTCTAACGTTTTCTATACTTCCATTTATTCGATTATTAAATTAGTTGATGATTCCTTTAATAATTGATTAATCAGATTGTTTCAGCCCTAGTTACAACAAAAAAAATATCAAAAAGCATCACTACTATTGAGTAACATTTCTGGCCACTCCATCCACTGTAACTTAATGAAAACAAGATTATTTTATATGAATTTGCTTTGAAAGACATTTTTTTTTTGTACTCAAGGCTTATTAATTAGATGTTATTTTCCATTTGCTGAGTCTGCTGTGTCATTTGGGGTTTAAGTAGAAATACAGTTGACACCTATTTTACATAATGTAACTATCAGCTTATTTGGAATAGTGTCCATTACACCTAAATGTTTTATTGTCTAATTACTTATTAGTTTTTTTACTTTTAGTTTTTTGTGATCATAACTAGTAGGTATATCAGTTACTCTGTAGCTTTTTAGCAAGTAGTCTTTTACCTGAGTAATTTCTTTAAAAGCTACATTTTATTTGAGTAGAAATCTGATAAATTAGTGCTACTCTCACTCTCTCAGTGAAAAGTGGAGTAACCACTTACTGTAGGAAAAGGGAAGTGGGGCTAAAATAAATACAATAGATTAGAAAAACATACATAAAATACAAACACAATTGTATAATTAAATGCAAATTAATGCATATTTCTAAGTCTTTCCACCCACCCTAATATTAATTTGATGAAGTGACATCAAATTAATATTAAACTCCTGCAAATGCTAATTTATTTATTGCATACCAACTATTGTGGTGCACTTGCTCCTGTTCGCCAGCAGGGGGAGCTCAAAGGAATCCCAGCCTTCATGGTTCAGTTTGATCTAACACTGTTTTAGGTGCTACTGTTTTACCCACAGGAGGAAAAAAACAAAATTTCAACTTTTAAATAAATGGGCAACATTTTACATTTTTAACCAGGCAGAAGATAATTTTTAAAGATATATTTACATTAAATGTAACTTGATTTTTACATTTCTAGCCCTGTATAAAGCATTCTGACATCACAAAACAAACCAAATTGTGTATTTATTCTTTATTCTATATCTTTTTTTACAAAAAGTTTTCATTATTTGAATTACATAATTATTGCAAAACATACATATAATTAAATAAGAGTTAGTTCAAGTGAAAAACATTCAGAGCTCTCAGCTGATGCAACAGCTATCAAATAACTGCAAACAAAAATGAAATGATGATGAAGCATTCTTCAGAATGAACTGAAAGCATCAAACCAAAACAACCCTCCCTGTAAAACTCATTCATATTCAAATAGTGAATGATCGTAACAACTGCTCTGGAGCTTTTTATTATAAAAATAAATCATAAAAAAATTAGAAAATGTGAAAGCGCCTATGCTGGTTTTGATTAAATAGTTTAAGCTGAATAAAGTGTAAATTATGTGTAATAGATGTGAGGAAGAAACACAATTTGTGGACTGAGTGTAATAAATGTCACTTTGATGGTTACATTCACTCCACTCCGACACATTGTAAAATTATAAAGGAGATATCAGCTGCTCCACGTGTTGATTGTTCATTACAATACAGCTTCTGGAAGCTGGGATTTACTGCAGTGCAAAATCGAATACAGAATGGCATGAGTTGAGTTTAAAAAACAAAAAACAAATTCTCCTTTAAACATAATTAAACTATTAGTGTGGTTTGATAATGTTGTTCATTTCAGCAAAATTTACACGTTAATGCTGTATGTTTTAAGATAAAAGAAACATTTCTGAATATCTCCAGGTGAAGATAGAAATGTTCACTTGACGTTGCAGATTTTCACAGACGTTCCGACCCCGAAGCCCGGGTAGACGGGCTCCACAAACGTGGTGTGAAACTTGTGCAGGAGCGTCATGGAGCTGCCTATGCTGTAAAACGCCAGCACGCCCGCCGTGTGGTCCAGGTACACGCCTATCCTGGACGAGTGAGGCCCGCTGACGGGTTTGTCCACCCGGTTGTGCCAGGCGGAGTATCCCGTGTCAGAGCAGAGGAGGCTCCAGGATTTGTCGTTGTAGCCCAGCAGGCACAGCGAGCCTTTCCCCTTCCGGCTGATGCTTTTGTAGGCCACCCCGATGGAGAATTCCCCGTTCCACTCGA